TATTTAAAATAGGGTATCAAGACTTGTTTTGGATAAAGAAACACCTATTTAGTGAACATTGAATATTATTATCGAAAATTATCCCTAATCGAGGTCATTTAAATTATGGACGATTAATGACCGCTTGAGATTAGTGTGTAGTTTTATTTATTGTACCATTTCTTTTGATACAAGGACATGATTGTCATAAATCATTTGCATAGGAATTGGTTTAGAACCATACTGGATCGACCTATAAGAATACAATAAGAGGCTTAAAAATCATCATAAGTATACTTTTAATTATATCTATCGAAACCTCTTTCCTTGACCATGAGTATTGTGAGTTCTCTTATTTGAGTACTAGTCCGTTTTGATGTTAGTCAATTGTCTACCGTAAAAGGGGATTATAACGGCAACACTTGGGCGGCTAGGTCCTCTCATTAAGAGAAACTACATTACAAGACTGGGAATGTTCCCCTAATAAAAATAGGGAAGATGTCTTTGTTGTTTACAAGGCCTCTCGAAGGGCGAGACTGTTAAAATGCATGGTCGTGCTCGGATGGATTTAAGAATTCATCTGTTTATTGACAGTCGGACTCGGATATCGAGAAACACTTCTAGAAGTAATAATGATGACGAATAAATCTTACCTTATAGTTCATGAAGAGACGTAGGAAAAAGGCTATACACTAAAAGCGCACTTGTCCGGAAGGACGAGTGGGAGATTGATAGGAATGGTGTCCTTCAAACAAGTGTATATTATTCCGGTAGAGGGTTCGGAGCTATTGATAAGATATTTATTCAGTAAGCTTAAGTGATCGGAATGCCTAGGTAGAGGCCGCTTTCGATCGGTAATATTAATGCATAATTAATATTACAGCTTAATCTTGACTGAACCCTTCGGGTACACCCAAGAACCTAATGATCTGACACGACAAATTAATTCGAAATGAATTAATGATTCGTTCGAGTAATAAATACTTAGACTTCGAAAATCGAGCTAGGAGCGTCAAAACCGAGCATTGCAAGTAGAGTCGAATTAATAAAAGACGAGACGGTAAAATTAAACTAATTAATTGACAATTACCAAAATACCCCTAGCATCGGAATGCCCCGAGCAAACCGAGTGCTAGGGGCAAAATGTGCTAAGAGCACATGACTAGCATGCACCAAGCCACGCACATAGCAGCAGCAGCCCGCATATGCGTGCGTGGCTTGCAGCGTATATGTGCAGGGCAGGTGTGCAAGGGAATTACATGTGCTAGCACAGGCATAACAGCAAGCCTCGGCCAGCATCCTGCATTTATAGGCCTGGCTTGCTTGGGTGAGGCAGGGCACACCCAAAGAAGCCACGGCAAGCCCAGCCAAGGCACAAGGCCATCAGCAGGGCGCCCCTGGGTGCCTAAGGTTGGGGTGCCACGTGGCAGCAGCCGATTGGGGTGATAGGAAAATGTCATCGGGTATGGGGAGGCCTAGGGGATCAAGTTTGGTCCCCCCTTTACCTTGTGGTCCTTCCCTAACCTCTCCTCTAAGTGTGCCACTTGTTGATTAATTAGTTGTTGGCTATTTTCTTTTGTTTTTGCTTTAAAAATTAATTTTACCAACTCTCCCCCATTGATGGGAGAGTGGATTTCTCACTTGAGTTTCCCTATAAATATCCAACTTGGGAAATGGTAAAACTCATTTGAGTAAGAGCTCAATTAGGCATCTCCACTTGAGAGAAAACCTCTAAGCTTATAAATTACTTGTGAGACATATAACCATGTCTCACAACACTTCATTTTTTTAAACCACTCACAACACTCCTTTTATACTTCCTCCATTATGTCATGTCACTTGCCTTGTTCTTTTGAGATTCTAGGCAGAGCAGAGTAAAGCAAAGCAGGGGTCAGCAAAGTAGAGCAGATTAAATTTCAGTAGAGCAGATTTCAGGATAGCAGAGCAGATCAGATTTCAACATTATTATTAATACTATTATTATTACTATTATTATTATTATTACTATTATTATTATTGTTATTATTATTATTATTATTATTATTTTTTTTTTTTTTTTACTACTATTACTACTACTTTATTATTATTATTATTATTATTATTATTATTATTATTATTATTATTATTATTATTATTATTAAGTGTATATACGATTTAGGTGAGTGAAAACATAAATAAATGTGTACCATATTTAACATATGTTAATAGTAGAAAGATAAAAGACAACAGTTTAATTATATTTATTTCACAAAAATTTTAAAATAAAATGATCTAATGAGTAATAATGATTTTACTTATAAATTTGTCTTAATCATATATTTTTTACCCTAAAAAATAATAATAAAATACAAAGTACTACTTGAAAACAACCTCTTTTTTTTTTTAAATCTTAAAATGTATGGAAAGATTTGAAAAATAATTCAACTCAATGAAATAACAATCAATACCCACATAAAATGTTTCTACACATTGTGATTCTGATATCAAATGTTTATAAAATAAATTGTTATTAATTGTTATAATTTATTTATTTTGAAAGAATTGTTATAATTATTAGAAATTATTAATTAATAATATTATTAAATATTAATTCTTAATAGTTTGAATTATTAAATATTATTATTGATAATTATATTATTATTATGATTAATAAATTTTTAATTATTATTAATATTAATAATTATTAAAATTATTTTTAATATTATTAATTATTATAATTATTTTTAATATTAATAATTATTATAATTACTTTTAATATTAATAATTATTATAATTATTTTTAATATTAATAATTATTATAATTATTCAAAATAATAAATTATTATCATCAATACAATATTAATTATTATTATTGAATATTAATTATTATTGTTGTTATTATTAATTATTATTTGAAAATAGAGCAGAGCAGAGCAAATTTCTTTTGAGCAGAGCAGAGCAGATTTGATTTGAGCAGAGCAGAGTTGGGCTCAGTAGAGTAAAGCAAAGCAGAGCAGAGCAGCTCTAAAGAACGGGGCCTAGCATTGCAACATTTATTTGTCCATGTCATTATTAATTAATAAGAATAAAAACATCCCACAAGGTTTGAACATTGGATCTCATGGTTACAAGATCACACCTTACCATATTACTCAAAGCCAATTTATGTTCTCTATATACACATAAATAAATATTGTATATGTATAAGTAAGAAAAAAAAATAATAATTATATAACGTAAAAAAATTGAATAAAAAGGAATAGTCCTAACAATACCAAGAGTCCAAGACAATGGAAATATAATATTTTCAACAATGGGATTTTGGGTTACATCTATACTAATGTTTAATAATATGAACTTTTGCAAACGGTATACGCTGCCACATGTCCTATTCTTATTGGTATACTTTTACTTTATTTTTTTCTTTTAATTTTTTATTCCTTTATTTATTGTATGTCATTTCACTAAAGAGTCACTTTTATTTTGTAATTTGATGAAATTAGTTTCTTCTAAAAATAATTGTTCACTCGCGTCTCTCGGTTGGTTCTATCAGCTTCTTATTTGGAGTAGGAGATAGTTAATTCTTATTAAGTATCTCTTCATGTATCTTTTTTTACGTGAAAAAATGTAAAATTGAAAATATGAAGCAACATCATTATTTTTACTACTAATCTTACATTATCTTACTACTATATACCATTTTTGTATTCATAAACATTTTAGTTTAATTCCAATTGAAGAACATTCTTAATGTACAATTGAATCCGTACTAATAAACATTTTAGTTTAATTCCAATTGAAGAGTATTCTTAATGTACAATTGAATCCGTACTAATAAACATTTTAGCAAAAAATTTAACCCGTGCATATCACGGGCTAAATACTAGTTTTGTATTAAAGTAGTATCCCACTACAACGCCCGAAATACACAATAATTCTATTTAATTTTGAGTACCAAACAAAGGAATACGTAGTTTTCCTCCCAATTTATTTCGAGTAAAGACCAAATACAGTCCCTCAACTCTTGTATTTGGATCGGTTTTAGTCCCTCTAAACTCTTTTGTGCTCTTTTAGTCCCCCCTCCACCTTGAATGGTGTTTTCCAGCTAAAAATTGAGGGACCTACCCTAGTCAGCAAAATTTGAGGGACCATACTAATTTTATTTTATTTTTTTTTTCTTCAGAATTTATTAATATATGAATCTTTAAATTATTCGTCTTTTTTTTTTACAACATTGTTTTTACTTCAACTTATAATTGGTTAAAATATAAAATTAAAAAAAAACCACTACATACCAGCCACCCCCCCACCCACCGTGAAACCCTCTTCCTTACCCTAGCCCCACCAAAACCGGCCGGCAGCCACCCTAAAGCCCCGAAAACAGCCAGCCACGGAACCCCCAATACCAAAACCCACCATGCCGACCTAAAATCACCCTCAATTTCACCACTTGAACCAAATCCCACTCCCAAATCCACCGCAGCCACCACCTTGAAACCGCTGGTAACTCCCCAAAAATCGCCAAAAACCCACCCCGAAAATAGTCGAAAGCCTCTTCAAATCCTCTAATCATCTCCTCTTTCGCTGCTGCTCGCTGCTCCTGCTGCCCGTGTTTGACCTTGATTCGAATCAGATTAATTTGTGTAATTTCGTTGGGGTTTTGGCTGGTTGTGGAGGGCGGTTTTTGGTGGTGGGGCAGTTGGAATAGCAAGAGCAGCAGCGAACGAGGGGTGTCGAGATGTATCTCGCCGTCGGGGGAGGACTTGGAGATCGGCGGTTGGGGTGGGTTTTTCTTTTTCATTTTTTTTAATGTTTTAGATTTTATGGGTTTTCTTATTGAATTAGATTTAGTGAGAAGAACAAATGATAAGACTTAAAGGAGGAGGAGGAATGAGTTGAACTACATTTTTTTTTTTTTTTTTTTTTTTTTTTAATTTTTTTTTAATTTTTAAAGTAAGAATATAGAATTTTTCATTTTTAGTATATTTGAAGAAAAAAATAAAATTCTGACAAAAAATAATGGAATTTTTGTTTTTGTTTTATAAAATTATTAATAGGGTGTTTTGGGAATTTTAAATAAAATTATGAAGAAAAACAAAAAAAAAAAGAGTCATGGTCCTCAACTTTTGCTGACTACGCTAGGTCACTCAAATTTTGGCTGGAAAACACCATTGAGGAGGGACTAAAAGAACACAAAAAAGTTTAGACGGAATAAAATGGCACAAATACATGAAATGAGGGACTGTATTTGATCTTTATTCAATTTATTTAAAAAAAAAAGAAAAAAAAAAAGAGAGGTTTCCTCCCAAGAGTCCCAACCAAATAAGGCCTAAAGGTCTCTCGCAGTACTTCTTTCAATCAAGTTCAAGAGCAGTTTTATGCAAAATGACAGATAGCAGTTTGGCTCCTCAGAAAAGGGGCCCCATTAAATCTTCAGGCAAATTATATCCTCTTAAACCCTTCCTTTATTTGAATATCATATATTTTGATCGATAATTTATCATATTATTTGTCTTCTGCGTTTATCATTCAATTACATAACTTTATTTTGTTGATATTGATTCAATTAGGTACAATGTTAAGGAATTTCAACCTTTTTGATTGATTAATATTCTCCTACTGAAATGTTTTAAGGGTTTAACTATGATTTCAATGCCCCATAATTTATGTACCTAAATATTTTGGAGTTATTTATTACAAATTGTTATGGCTCAAAATTTCAATTATTTAAATTTTATTGGGTATTTTTAAAATTCAATTTATTCCCCACTTCAGTTGGAATGTTGATTCTTTGTTCTTGCTTTCATTAACCCAAAAAATTGTTAATCAGTATTATATGAAGTTTGCTAATTTTGTGGCCTTTCTTGTAGTTGGGAATTTGGCTGCACAAAAAAGACGGCAGAATGCAGTTGCTGTTGCTAAAGAAAGGAGGGAGGCACTTGTTAGAACGAAGCGGCTTTGCAGAGTGGCGGTTGGTGGTGATGATGATGGCGGCGAGCCGGATACCGAAATGATGCTTGATGAGGAGCAGTCAGTTCTGGAAGCTCAGACTTCTGCTGCTGTTGAAGAATTGAAAACTGCTATTTCTTATCAGTATGTCTGTTTATACTGATGGTTTCTTTTCAATATAATTGTGATTATTGTGTATGTTTGTTGGATGAATTATTGTGACGTTGGTGTTGTTTGCCTATGTGTTATCAGTATTGTGTATTTTTGTGCATTTTAGTTCATATTGGTGTATAATCTGAATTAACAAATGAGTTTTTTTGTAAATAACCACCCCAAAATGTACCCTGTATTGAATTTACCACCCGTTTTTTTCGAAATTAAAAATTACCGCCCATTAATGTCAAAACATGTAGATTTCACCACCCTTTTCCAATTCCGGCCAGTTGTGGTGGTGGTGAGATTGAGGAGTGGAGGAAATTGCAGGAATTATGGATGTCGAAAATGGAAACGGGGAAGGGGAGGGGTGTCGGAGGTGGCAGAGCCTTCCAGAGGTGGTAGTGGTGGGTTTGATTTTTTTTTTTTTTTATAATATAATTTTGATTTTATATTTTGTGGGCCCTAAGTCGGAAAACTGGCTGAACTAGTCGGAAAACTGGCCAGAATTGAAAAAGGGTGGTAAAATCTATTGGTTTTGACATTAATGGGTGGTAATTTAATTTCGAAAAAAATGGGTGGTAAATTCAATACAGGGTAAATTTTGGGGTGGTTATTTACAAAAAAATCCTTAACAAATTATTGCTTTCAAGAATAAGTGGTTTCAAGAATATTGGTGAGCTGTTAGTTGGACTTACTATAATCTTCCTAGGGATTATGTTGCACTACAGTCCAAATTCTTTGTTGGGAAGGAGCAAAGGGGGGGAGGGGGGAGGCACAACAAATCCATATATGTTCTGTAGTGTTGCAACTTTATAACATATCACATTTGAAAATGAAAATTTAATGAATATGAATAGTCTTCATCATATTTATTTGGGGGGGGGGGGGAAGTAAAAGGGTAACAACAAGGCTATCCATATTGCTGATATAGAGTGAAGAGTAAACATGACAAGGAGTATGTATGTCATTGTGTGTACCTAGCTCACATAGGACGAATTTAAAGGTGGGGGAGGCACAACAAATCCATATATGTTCTATAGTGTTGCAACTTTATAACATATCACATTTGAAAATGAATATGAATAGTCTTCATCATCTTTATTTGGGGGGGGGGGTAAAAGGGAAACAACAAGGCTACCCATATTGCTGATATAGAGTGAAGGGTAAACATGACAAGGAGTATGTATGTCATTATGTGTACCTAGCTCACATAGGAGGGATTTAAAGGTGGGGTTTTAAAGTTTTGGCATGGGGAGAATTGGAGAGATTTTAATTATTAAATTCCATCCTCCATATTCCACTACTCAATGTATTAATCGGTGTCATTTGAATCGGTGTCATTTGTCTGGTTTATGGTCCACATTGTTCCTTTACCCTTTAAACTACTTTTTCATATATAATTTAACAAGTGTTTCCCCTTTCGACCTCTTGCTTTATTGCATTTATCATTAGAATTTTGCTAACCCAAATGAATCTGACTAATTGATGGGTGAGTCAGGGTGACATTACCTTCCAATTACAGATGCTTATGCTACACCAAAACACATTGATGTATTGACTTTTCTGTGTTACCTTAGTTTCAAAGTTCTTACCAATAAAACATTTTACAATAATAATTGGTCGCATTTGAGTTTTGTAGTCAAATTTTGCCATTTTGGATAATCAATATCTGTTTTTATATTTTGATTAAATAACTTACTAAGATTACTTTTGATAGTGCAAAACCTTTATTATTTGAAGAGTATTTCAGGAAGATTAGTTTGACATCATCACTAGGGCCTATTTTCTTCATCTTATTTTCAGTTCAGCAGCTGAGCTCAGCTTCAATAAGTTAAGTTAAGTTCAGTTCAGTTCTTAATTTCCTTCTCTCATAAAATATTCAGTTCAGCTAAGTTCAGTTCAGCTCAGCTCAAACAAACCCTTAAAAGTATAATTTAGTTAATCCGTGCAGAGAGTGATCCTTAATTTCCAAAAAAAAAAAAAAAAAAAAAAGGCTGCCTTTGTTTTTGTAGTACAATGATGAATTTTTATACTTTCTGGGAATTATAAAAAAATTTCCGTCAAGTTTTCTGGGATTTTTTATTTGTATATATGCATGTTCTGGCTGAAGGGGCTTATGTAAATAATTATTATGAATTATAATCTTTGTAAGCTGTCTGCTACAAATGTCTGGCTTATGGATTTATTTGTCCCTTCATTTTGGACAATGGAACACTCTCGAATTGTTTCTTTGTAAGCACCAAATTGATTGCTTCCGTGTTCTTGATGTTTTTCTTCCCTTGCATTGATGGAAGTTTTAGGTATTTTCATACTAAATAGTTTGTACTCGTTTGTCCTTAATATTAGGGGAAAGGGTGCACAAAAGAAGAGGGTCAGTGCTTTACGTGAGTTAAGACGTCTATTGTCTAAATCGGAGTTCCCCCCTGTTGATGTGGCGCTTCAAGCTGGAGCAATACCAGTTCTTGTGCAGTGCCTTTCATTTGGTTCTCCAGATGAGCAGGTCTGACTGATTTCTCTTTTGAATTGTGTTATTTGAATTCTTTGCCCCTGTTTACACGCAGAGTTACACACAATAGCGTGCCCTTGGTTTTCCTACTTCTCATTCAAAGTTATTGTTACTTCTATCTCTTTGTTCCCCTCCCCCCTCCCCCCAATCCCCCTCTTATACTTAAATGTGTGGAAAATCTACCGCAATGGCCTTTTGTTTGATCAAATAAACATATTCCATCTTAGGCACCTTGCCACCTCCTCCCTTGCACAATTTAGTTATTCTAGATCATTATATCTTGGTATATTATGCTATATATTAACATGCTATAAGTTGAATTACAATAATTAAACTTCACTTTTAAGCACATTACTTTTCATAAAAACTAGTGGCTCACTATCTTAAGGCAAGATGGTGGTGAATAGTCTACTACAGATTAACTTGGTTCATAATTATATTTTTGTAAAATTCTTATTCTTCTTCTTCTTTTTTATTTTTATTTTATTTTATTTTATTTTTTTAGGGGTAGCACTTGCCCCCTAGCTGTACTGTAGATCCACTAGTGGTTATACTGGTTAATAAGAGAATGGTTAAAATTACGCAAACCACCCTAAATTAGCTTTTTCTTACTCGGATCATATTCTAATTCATTTATTAAAAAATTAAATAAATCTTATTCTAATTTAACCCATCCAAATACCAGATCAACATTCCATCTTTTTTGTGAAACCCATCTTCCTCTATGAATACTAATCATGCGTTCATGCCCACTCTTTAATTGTCCATCTCCTTCTCTCCAATTTTTCCTCTCTTTCCCCATCTTTCTCACTTAGAAAATCTCTTTGAAACTCATCCGTTTGCATGTACCTTAAGGTCAGTCTCATTATCTTCAACTACCTTGTAGCTACATTTTCAATACTGCCCTCTCAATATTTAAAGTTTAAGATTTGAGTTTTTGTGATCGAATCCGACCACTAATTCAGTTCATCGAGGAGTAATAGGGGGTTCTTCGGGAACTTGTGGCCATTGTGGGTGGTGTTTGGAATTAGGCACACACGGGAGTGTTAGTGGATGCGTTGATGGGGATGTGTAATTATGATAGTGTTTTTTGAAGCTTGCTTCGAGTTATATTGGTGGTGGTGGGTAGGAATGTAAAGGGTTTGAGAATAATGGTTGTCCACGAAGGTCTTCTAGGTGGGGTATTAAGGGTTGGTTGTTTTTTGTGGGAGATTGATGGCTAATATGGAGGTATAGTGGTTGTAAGAATGACAATCAATATTGTATGTGGTTTTTGTCTCATTATTGTTTTGGCTTTTAAATTATAATAAGGGAACCATTGTTAACCAAAGGGCAACTTCCTAATAGAAATATCTATGTTACTCAGACTCTTTCATTTACCTCACGTGTCCGTGTCGACACGACACTTGTTGGACACCGACACCGACACTTGGACACTTCATTTTTAACTAAAATCATAATTTTTTTCAAGAAAATGGGCGAGTCCGATGCTTGGACACCCGTGTCTAATTTGACACTTCATCCGAGTCCAAGTAACATAGAGAAATATTGACTAAAGTATTTTAAGAATGAGAAAATACAAGTTAATATCCTATATTAACATAACTTGTTAATATCAAGGGTTTTTTGGTAAATTCTTAAGCAATGCCCCCCCCCCCCCTCTCTCCTCTATCACCACTGAACCACCCACTGGCACCACCTTCTACTTCCGCACCTCCACTAATCCGACCATCACACAACCACTAGCACAACCATTTGACCACAGTACGACCTTTAATTGTCCACTACCACCACCAATCGACCACTACCACCACCTGCACAACCATTAGTATCACTAGACGATTGTCACACCTCCACGAGCACCACCCTTTCCCTAAGGGGTTAGTAAGGGCCCGCTTTACATATAACCTACTAGGGTAACTTTTTTTGTCCAATCGGCCGATTTAGACTCCCGATGGTGGTCGGTCGACAAGGCCATGGGAGGGGAGGAGAGAGAAGGAATAGTGGCCATGGAAGGGGAGGAGAGACAAAATTGAGTGGCCGTGGGAGGGGAAAGCCATGGGAGTGGGGGGAGAAAGAAGTACTATTATTTACGAGAATGCCACTATATTAACAAACAATGTTAATATAGGATATTAATGGGGACAACCTCTCTTAGGAATAAAAGGTCATATGTAATGTTGACTTTTTTTCTCTCTATTTTTTATTTTATTTTTTTAATTTTTAATATTTTGTTTTACTACCAGTGAAAATTTCTCAAAAGAAGGAAACAAGAAAGACTAGGATACTACTATATGTATTTCATAGGGTATTAGGAATTGTAGTTGGTTGCTAGGTCTTACGTGAGTGACATGCACCTTCTAAATCAATGAATTTTTTGTTGTTGGTCTATTTGCAAACTGTTTGTGGTTCTGGAGAACATCTGAGAAAAACAAAGGGATTAACTTAAGAGTTAATGTTGCAGCATCTTGGTTTTATATATTAATGAAAGTTCTATGAAATTATCCATGTGTTAATAGTAAATGCATATGTTCAACATTTCTCCCGGTGAGGATATGAAATCCTTACTTGGCCCTTAATAAATTCTCTAGGCACTTTAAACAATATGACCTATATATTTGTAGTTGATAAAATATACTGTAATAGAAAGAGACAAGGAGAATATAATACAATATATGCTCACAAATGTGTTTGAATTCAGCAATACAAACAAGAACTAACTCACAAATCAATCCAAAATGTACATATGCAATTTTAATGTCAGACCTTCATTATTAAGGTACCTTGCTATTTGGAATACGTTGGGAGAACAGCCTTTTTTGCCTTGTGTCTGAACTTTTTGACATTTGGACCTTTTCCTGACATACATGCAGTCAAACTCGTGTAAGTTGCTCATAGTTGTACCTCTATCTAGCTTGAACATGGGTTTAGGGAGGGGTGAATAAAGTGATTGAGTAATTAGGTAATCCCCGTCCATTTTTTTTGTTCTTCTTAAAGGGTAAGATTCTATTTCCATGTACAGAATTTTCTTTCTTTTTCAAAATTAATTTTTATTTGTAAAATGAAGGATTATCAGTGGTGTACTTTGATAAGGATGGATTAATGAAAGGTTTTCTTATTTTTCTTATTCTCACCCAGTAGCTCATTTCTCAGTCAACGATGTTGAGGTTTTTCATCCTTGTTGTGTTACAGTTGCTTGAGGCAGCTTGGTGTCTCACAAACATTGCCGTAGGACTACCAGAAGAGACAAAATCTTTGCTTCCTGCACTCCCATTGCTTATTGCACATCTTGGAGGTTAGAAAATGAAACAAATGAATTTCAATTTCTTATTTAATTATTTATTCATTTATTTATTTGTGTTTATGAGTTAGGATTCTTTTACCTTTTAATAGTTAATGCCCAATAGCTAAAGTATTTTGAAATGGATTTTGTTGCTCTAAAGTTTAAGTATAAATTGCAAAATTGGCATACTGATGGAAAAGTAGAATTGTTTGTGTGCAATTCTTAGTTATTGTTTAAGGAGCCCATGTACCTGCTCTACAGTTTGAAAGCGTCAGCAGAATATTTGCATTATAAATAATTAATTACACCATAACTGATGAAAGCAGTGACATATGTGGATCTGATCCCCTGAAGAGGAGGGAAAGGTGGAGGGGGGGGGGGGGGGGGGGTTGTCTGGCCAAATGCCTAACTACTCTACAAAAGTCAATCTTTTTCTCTTTATGGCTCTTAAGTCTAATCGTAGGATTGCTATCACTTTTTATGTCCTTCCATTTTCTAGCTTTTCATAAAAACTAGTATTTAGCCCAAATGCACGGCTTAAACTTTTTGATCAGATGTTTTTAAGTGAAGGGTTGATTAAAGAATTATTGCATAAAAGTTAGTTTTCATATACTTTTTGAAAGAAGAATTTAATTGTTTGGGAAGAAAATTAAGAGGAAGTGTCATTTGGGAATAAAGTGAACATTAGGATGAAAAGGCATGTATTAAAAAAGAAAAATTGAAAAACAAAAATGACACTTGGCACTCTACATTTCCTTCAAGTATTTCTGTTATTAAATATTAGTATAAATTTTTTCTTGGTTGTGTGGAAGACACCTTTTTAAGCTTTAGGAATTTATTGCTGGGGTTATGCATTCAAATCACCTAAACAGTCATTCATCAAGAACTTTTTTTTTTTTTTTTTTTTTTGAAGACGTCATTCATCAAGATAATTGCTGAGGACATATCGAGAATCTTTATAATTGTGAAGTTTATTCTCACTTCAATTTACCTAGAATGCCAAGGGTATGTTTGTTATCATTACAGATTTAGGGTTATTAGGTAATATTTTTTTTTTTAAAAAAAAAAAAAAAAACCCAAAATCAAAGTAAAAAGTGGTATTTTGATTTCTATTGTCCATTTCAAATTAACATGACTGATATTAGCATTACTAATATAAAGGTCATTGTAAAGTTTATATAATGCAACTTTTCTAATCGCAAAACCAAAGATCAATAACCAAAAAGTCACATGATACCGAGTCGGTCCTAAGAGAAAAGTTTTTTTTTTAGTTCGTGCGAATCAAAATTTCTGCTGCTTCTATTTCAAAATTTCATTTTTAAGGGAATTCTAAGCAGTTCTGTTGCTGTGTTTGAGCCAATATAGGGGTTGAATCCTTGAATGACTCAGCTGCCTGATAGCAAATGTGGAGTTAGTATTACCTACTAATTACCTTTTTTTGCCTTTTGCTCTGAAGAGAAGAGCTCTTTGCCAGTAGCTGAGCAGTGTGCATGGGCATTAGGTAATGTTGCGGGTGAAGGAGAGGATCTTAGAAATGTTTTGCTCTCACAAGGAGCATTGTTACCTCTTGTCAGAATGATTCTTCCAGACAAGGGATCGACAGTAAGAACAACAGCTTGGGCACTGTCAAATCTTATCAAGGTAATGTGTATTTTATGTTGAAGAATTCTATTATATCAATGTATTGTTTCTCGAATAAGTTTGTGATTGTATTCTGCTCTTTAATTCTATTGCTGGCCTCGAAAAGGGACTGTACTGATTCAGGTACCAATCAATTCTATTCTGCTATTTGTTATTGTCTATTATTCCTTTCTTTCAAGCTGTATTGGCTGAATTGATTGTTTAAAGAAAATAAAAGTATATAACTAATACTAAAACAAGCCATTGCTGGCATGATGACATCATTGATAGACACGTATTGCTTAAGGGATAAACTTGCAAACTGAAATAAGGGATAAAGTTAGAGCTTCCAGTTTCCTGGTTGTACTATCATGTATTGCTTTAAGTATAGCTCTTGAGAAAGGTATACATTATTAGTTCTGATGTCATCTCAGCTGGTTTTAATATCTGTAAAGACAAGAAAAGTAGAGATTTGTGCACTAAATGATCCCTATTTTTTTTTATGTGTACATATAATGTGCCTCTGTGACACATATATGGTTTCTATTTCTTGTCTTGCATCTTTATCAATGTCCATGATTATTTAAAACTTGGAAAAACGAAAATTTTCTATTGGATTTAAAGAAAGTCTTCAGACAAACACAGATCTCTTCTCCATGCGTTGACCCTTCCATAGTACCTGACTTCCTAGCTCTCCTCATTCCCAGAACCTTGTCATCCTGTAATTAAATTGCGAATCAATCCAATCCCCCCACTCCTCATCTTTTTAAGTCTAGGCACCATAGTGCATGGCAACTCCTCACTTCCTTAACTATGCCATATGCTAATATTCATGCAATCCCCACCACTCTTCTTTGTTAGTCCATGGGACATCCATGCGACATCAATATACATGGAGAGGTAGCTCGGCTTTCGAACCCCTGCTAAGGAAAAATTATCTCTTGAATTCTTAGTTTCATGAATTCCTACTAGAATGCCAATTGGTTTTGACTGGCAGTTCCTAGGTATCTTTTTGTTAACTCTTAGTTTCATAATTTCCCCATAGAATGCCAATTGGTTTTGATTGGCAGTTCCAAGGTATCTTTTTGTTAGCATGAAATCAAATTACTCTCAGAGTTAGCCGGACTCTTCCACCCTGTTCTTATTAGTATAAAACCACCACCTACCACCAGTTTATCCTCTGGGTTTAAAGTTTAAGTGCATACCTGAGGCTGTGTACACTAAATATCGGAAACTCACAGTTTCACCTAGGTTATGTGGAGGCATAGGCTTTGACTGAGGAGTGAGGCGAGAATGGTCCACCAATCTTTGCATAAAATCAATTTTTAGATTAAACAATAAAGCCGTTCTAGTAATGTAGTAACCCCCATGATGCTCGATAGAGAATACCATCATCTTATTCTCGTAAGATATGTTAATAAGAATTGGATATCCAGTAATGTCAATTTCTAATTAAGTTTTATTCTCTCTCTCTTTTTTATCTATCATGCTCTCTCTCTCTCTCCCCCGGTGTTTACTTCATTATATCTCACCTTCAATCATTCATCCTTGCTTTTCTTTTAGTTTCAAGTTTTCTTCTCTTCACTAGTCTGATTGTTTCCTTCTACCTTGATTAGAACAGAGTGGAAATTGGAACTTTAGACCTGAGGGCACATTCTGACTGGTGACACTGGTTGAAACATAAGGTTAAGTCACATAACAAGTCAAACAAGATAGGGAATTGATGCAAATTATATCCTACACCTAGGTGCATGATGACTGATGAGTATCAATGCAAATAACATAACTCATCTTTATTTCTAAAAGAATATTCTCCTGCAAAAAAAATTAAAAGAACATACAATTCATAATTTAAAAAAAAAAAAAAAAAACGTACAATAACGTAATACACAATAAAAGTACATTTTAAATATAAAGAACATGAATTGTGAAACACAGAGCATGAAGGTAAAATGTAAAGAACAATTGGGAAATAAGCCTCTTTTTCTATGATCTTTAGTTTGAATTTATCTATTTGTCTTGTTTTCTTTTTCTTTTTTTTTTTTTTTTTTTTTTTTTTTTTTTTTTTTTTTCAAATTTTATGTGCTTATTGGTTTAGGTCTTCTTTCCTTTTATATAGTGATAAGTAGACTGTTAAGAAAATGAAAGAGAATAAATAAAATATGAGTGAGATTGCAAAGTTAGTAAAATACTAGAATTTTGAAAGAAAAAGTAAGTATATGAAAAATGGCAAGTCATGCCATCACATATTATCTACTTCCAATTTGAATGACATATGTTGTAAAAAAAAAAAAAAAATAAATAAATAAAATAAAAATTGAATGTCATATTTTCCTCAATTTTCGATAAACTCATATTACTCTCAATAACTTTCTTCTATTTTTCTTTGGTCTTCTTTTACCCCTCACAATTTCATTATTTTGCCATTCTTCAAGCCCAGTATCGGTGCATCTCCCGGTCTCCATCTTACACTGACCGAACCACTATAAGCAATTCTCTCTCATCTTATACTCAATAAGTGTTAAACTATTATCTTCCTAAATTATATCATTCCTCCATCGAATTGTCTATCCTTTTTAGTACGACCACACATCTCCGCCCATTCATCTTATGAATGTAAAAGTGCTTCACAGCTAATACTCTATACCATATGATGGGGCAGATTTAATTGTCGTGCAGTAGAATATCCCTTCAATTTATTGGGCCTGCTAGAATCACATATGAATTCAATAGCATTCTTACACTTGATCCATCCCGCTTCAGATTTATAATTAACAAGTCCAGTCAATCTCCTATCTTTTTTAATTAAACAATCCTAGATACCAGAATAATTCAGAACCTTGGTCAAAACTCCCATCCAAGGAGATCTTCCTAGTCTCTCATACTTCTAAGTCCACTAAACTTACACTCCAAATATTCTGTCCTACAATTCTGACTTGCTTACCATGCCTTCTTTTGCCTCACCAATCAACACAATATCATTTGCAGACTGTAAAGGATTCAAGCAATTACAGTCACACTCAAGCAAGCAAATCAATAAAACAGGAAATTTAGAGAGAAAAGATGGCAGCTTTCATTCACATAACAAGGTTTTTTATAATGATAGCTTTAGTCTATCAAGCTCCACAGTGAGTTTAGCTCACCGCACCCCAAGATTCCACTCAATACAATGCCCGCTTCACTCATTTTCCTCCCCTTTTTTTTTTTATGTATACAACCGAAGCAAAAAGATGCCAAAAGGATGCCCAAATTGGCTGCTGAGTTTGTCTCTTTCTCAAGCTGTTCATTCTCATCATTCTCTGGGTGATGCGTGCTCTTGTGACCTGCAGCCAGTGTGTTGTTGTGAGTGCCACTCACCTTACTCTTCTTCTGGAGTATATATGGACCACTGGGAGTTTGGCACGGTCTATTACACAAACATTATGCCCCATGGTATGAAGGGAGGAAGTATACTACAGTAAAATTTGATTGTGCCCTGAGGTTAGGATTGAAAACTGAATCATGAAACATTAAATTATAATATCTAACGCTCGCCTCCTTATCTTGAACTTCAAGCTGTCTTTTGATCATCCAGTTACATATCTGAAGTTGAATGACTGTTTTATAAGAAGGAAGTCAGTTAATTTATGGAGTTGATTTAGTTTATGGTGCCTATTGTAATTCCAATCAAAAAAGTTATTAGTAGTTAGTTCAACTTTGTGAAAATATAAGATTATTTTTATAACAAACTTTATAGTGGTCCAAGTATCTGTAGGTGCATTGTGCGTTTACTTTTTGTGACTTTGAACTGAACTGAATATTTTATGAGAGAAGGAAATTAAGAACTGAACTAAACTGATTGGAGCTGAACTCATTTGAACTAAGAATAAGCTGAAGAGAACAAGCCCTTTGTACTCAATTTCCTATTATTATTCTGAAGCTAATTATGAATCAATAGTATTTCGCCTTTTCTAAATCATTAGATACAATGGTGGTTCACTTCTGACAGCTGTTCTGCTTTTGTCAGTTTTTCATCTGTTTTCCTTTAATTGCTTTGTCGGTATCAGTGTTAAGTTATTTACAGTTTGATAAAATGTAGGGTCCGAATCCCAGAGCTGCAATGGAACTTATCAAGATGGATGGTGTACTTGATGCAATTATCCGGCACTTGAAAAAATCGTAAGGGATTTTCTTAATATATTCTTCTGTAGGAACTATACTGATATTATACCTTATTGTCGAGGAGGTAAGGTGGTTGTAGTAATAAACTATTCAGATATATCAACAGCATAACATATTACTTGTAGACTCTGGCTTCTTGGCCTTTCTGAAGTGAAAGGTCTCTTCCCCTTGGCCCTTGTATGCTGATAGGTTGATAGATGTAGTGTTTGGCTGTTAGTCAAGGTTTATATTATGCACTTGTTTTCTGCGTGGCTGATGCTATGGCATAGTATTCTCCTCCCATGATGAATACTGTACTCTCACGCACGTGGTTCCATCTTTGTCTGTTACTGATCAGTGGGATAAAGATTTATTGGATATTATGTTTGTGCTGATGCACCATGCTCTTTTTCTTGGAATGTTTGCACTGGCTATATTGATTTTAATAGGAGTCACTGGATGGATGTTCTATGGCAACAATTCATGGCGATACTTCAATTTTGCAACATTAGCATATATTTATACTGATTCTTGCTTGTGAGGATCTTGCACGGTTTCATGAATGTATTTTCTTGTTACAAGTTATTAGTGATCTGGACTGTAGTCCAATCTGCAAAATATTAGGTATAAGACAAAATGTTGTAGAATAATTCAGAACCTTGTACTGTAGTCTGTTGCTTTGACCAATCTGCAAAATATTTGGTATAAGACAAAATTGTATCTACTCTCCTCAAACAGAGGGGTGGGAGGGTTGGGGATGCATTGTTTTGCTACTAATATTATATTGTGATATAAACTAGAGAACACTTTTCCTGCAGCGTATTTCATTGCATGCTACAGTGTTTTTTGCTTCCCAATATTATTCTTTTCTCCTTGGCTGTTCTTCATGTATTCTTTCTTTCTCTATGGCAGGGGTTTATAAATGTAATTAGTTTGTTTCACTGTATATAGGTTAACTTAGAAAACATACTGCTAATTTGCTAAAAGATGCTGAAGAGCTTCTATTTAACATGATGGTCTTATTTCAAGGCAACCTTAGAGGTAAGAGATAGCATTTACATCGCACTGGGCTCATGTTCTTCAATCCCTTTGTGATTGACTTGCAGATTACTAATGGGGTAATTTGCAGAGCATATATACACATAAATACGTAATCATGATGAGAAATGAATTTTTGGGTAATCTGGAGGTTGCAATAAGGTCAATTACATTAGGTTTTGGTGAAGTGCCCAAGTGTACCTCATCCTTATCCCAAGGCACTTTATTCTGTTTAGCCTGACATATCAGATGCACACTTTATTAGTAACAAGTAGAAGTAGAATCCCATAGCTAGTTGTGGAAGCTCAGAATTGAATGGCCATACCAAGAGCTAATGCAGATCTGTACCGAACAGGTTCATTTTGAAGACTTGCAACAATTTATCAATTTTTTTCGAGGATCCTTGAAATTAATACTTCCTCTATCCCCCTCCTCTCCCCCACCCACTCACACAGATACAAAAAACAAATATAATTCACACCTGCTTTATATAGGTGTCCGAAAAAATATCTTGTCTCTATTTCAATTCAACTCTCTCCTTCCATCCCATTTCTCATTCACCAGCCCCACACTCTTGTACTTTTATCTCTCTATTCACTATTCCTAATCTTCATTCACAATCAAAGTGTGCTCTTATTCTTTGGAATGGAGGGAGTGCCATGTTGGACATAATGATAATGATAAAGTTGTTTTAGTATACATTAAGTTGTGATCTGGTCTTGTCAGGAGCAAAGGTATTCGAAGGTGTTTGGTTGTGGTTATACTACTAGTAGTGGTGTTAGGGTATTACTGATCAGTTGAAGAGCAATGTGAAGAGCTGGCACACCCATTTAAAACCTAGAGTGTAATGCTAGAGCTGCAGTGTTATTTGTTTCAAGTGGGAAACCTCTATTTACATTTTTATACTGGTCAGCTTTTGCATGTTCTACATAAAATGTGTTCTTGTTCTTATGATTGGAGGCCAAGATGGATGTAAAACCTAAAGAGTTTTGCATCTGGGTTATGGTGGTCCAATTGCTTGCTTTTATGGTAGACATGGATTGTAGCTCACCTATTTTATACTATTCTTAAATACTTCTTAAAAACTCTGCTCGGCGATTTTCCCTTTTTTGTTTGCGTATCATTACTATTGTGAAGAAAACATTTGAAGAACAAGAACTAGATTTTTTCTAGTACTGGTCCTAATATCTAAATTATATTTTGTACTCAGAGACGAAGAACTGGCAACTGAAGTCGCTTGGGTGGCTGTGTATCTTACTTCCCTTACAGATGTTGCTTCTAGTATGATCGTGAAGAGCAGTCTTGTTCATCTTCTCGTGGAAAGATTGGCAACATCAAACAGTTTGCAATTGCTAATACCGGTATTTACATGATGATTCATTTTGGAATTAGCTAAATAAAATCTTAGTGTAGGGTAATTGGGTGTTTTATATATTATAATTAGTGTTCATCTTGTTAGAGATCCCCTAGGTGTATACTAATACAAATAATTTTTAGGTGTTGAGAAGTTTGGGTAATCTTGTTGCCAGTGATGCAACTATAGCCTCTACAATGCTTATTTCTGGAAGCGAAGTTACGGGTTAGTATCATGTTAATTGACTTAGTTCCCATTAAAAAGATCTCCCCTTCCCTACTTAGTCAACTCCTTTTTTAAAGTGAAGTACATGTTTATCTTTGAGCCTGTCTGCAGATAAAGTAATTGTTGCTCTTTCTAAATGCCTTGGGAGTGAACACCGCGTACTTAAAAAGGTTTGCATTTTACTTTTAAGTATTAGTCCCTCTTGTAGTGTTTTTTCTTTAAATTTTTTGTAGTTAGTATTCCTTTGGGAATTGTGGTGTTGTAATTGTTTTTTATTTTATTTAAAAATATTATTATAAATGTTTATTTTGCCATTAATCATAATGGAAATGGGGCTTGGTGAATTTCTCTGTTCGATGGTCAGTTACACCCTTGGTCTCTAGAATTTCTTCATAGAATTGGAAATTTTTGTAGTTGCTATTCTCTTCTTGGGTTAGCTGGTTGGTATTATGATCAAGCTGGGTGTGATGACTGCCAGTGGTGGAGGGTTAAAGAAAGGGCAAACCTTTAATTAAACCAGGTGTAACTAGCATTGTAAATCAGCTGTAAAGTTACAATAAATTTTCAAAAGAAGCCTGATATAATTAAAAAGTTACCTAATATTTATTTTGCTAGACGACACATTTTTAAAGCGTCATAGAGAAGACATGCAACCACCTTTTAACACGAATATTTTCGCTTAATTAACCTCACTTCATTGGGGCACTCTCCTCATGCCTGCTGACCCCTATTACCCTAGGGCATGAAGCTTTCTTATGTTTGCTGTTGAAAATTTACATGCATGTCTGATATTGTCAAAGCAAACATTGCATCCAAAGACTATTCTGTGTCAATAAAGTGACTTTCTTGACAAATGCAGGCTTTCAGTATGTATTTATTTATTTTTGAAATCATACTGCTGGACCCATTTAATTCAAAGTACATCCGTCTTGCAAACAAAGACAAAATGGCTTATGGGGAAGCATTAGTCCACATATGAACATGAAAATAAGTTAGTTCAAGTGTTCTAGGCACAAAGGCTGTGACCAAGTGTTAGGGTGGGTGATGAGAATCGATCCTAGGATGGAACCTGGGATGAAGCTCTAACCAATTGAGCTACCCCTCACTCTCCGTTTTGATGGTTTACCTTATTGACAAATATACTTAAATATTTTTTTAAAAATTTTCATGGAGTTTAAGGGGGTATTTTAGTTACCCCACTTCCCTCTACCATGATCCCCCCCCTCCTCCTAAAAAAAAATCCTCACCCCCAAACGCCTCTTACTCAAGTAAGACAAAAATGGCTTAAAGGAAGCATTAGTCCACATATGAACATGAAAATAAGTTCAGGTGTTCTAGGCACAAAGGGTGTGACCAAGTGTTTTTTTTAGACACCTAAAGGGCGGGTGATGAGAATAATCCTAGGACGGAACCGGGAGGGAAGCTCTAATCAACTGAGCTATCCTTCACTCTTAGTTTAGATGGTTTACCTCATTGACAAACTTACTTGTGTATCCTTAATAAAAATTTTAGAGTTTAGGGGGCGTTTTAGTTATCCCACTTCCCTCAACCGTTATCCCCCCCCCCCTCCCACCCACCAAAAAATGGAATAATCCTCACCCCCAAACTCCTCTTAGGCCCCGTTCTTTAGAGTTGCTCTACTGTGCTGAGCCTGCTCTACTCAAATCAAATTTGCTCTGCTCTATTTTCAAATAATAATTAATAATAACAATAATAATTAATATTCAATAATAATAATTAATATTGTATTGATGATAATAATTTATTATTTTAAATAATTATAATAATTATTAATATTAATAATAATTAATATTTATTAACCATAATAATAATTAATAATAATAATTATTATCAATAATAATCTAATCTAATATATATATATATATAAAGGGGAGTTTTTTTCTCGAGTTTTTACAGAGCCCTATAGGATTTAATTTTCTTAACGCGCCACGTAGGATTATAAATTTTAATTGTAGCCAATAAAATAAGAAATTATTAATTTCTTTTAAAATAAAATAATTCAAATGCCATGTAAGTAAAATTGTCGAATGAGATTTTTAAATTTAAATTAATTAAATATAAAATATTATCTTTTGATATTATGAATTTTATCTAAATATATAACAAATTTTAGCACATACATAAAGATAATCTCTTATTTAGAATAATTCAAACTATTAAGAATTAATATTTAATAATATTATTTTAATAATTTCTAATAATTATAACAATTCTTTCAAATAAATAAATAATAATAATAACAACTAATAACAATTTTTTTTTATAAACTTTGATATTAGAGTCACAATGTATAGAAACATTTAATGTGGGTATTGATTGTTAGTTCATTGAGTTGAATTATTTTTCAAATCTTTCCATACAATTTATGAATTAAAAAAAAAAAAAAAAGAGGTTTTCAAGTAGTAATTTGTATTTTTTTTAAGGGTTAAAAATATATGATTATATTTATAAGTAAAATCATTATTACTTATTAAATCATTTTATTTTAAAAATTTTGTGAAATGAATATAAGTAAACTGTTGTCTTTTATCTTTCTACTATTAACATATGTTAAATATGGTACACATTTATTTATGTTTTCACTCACCTAACAACAACAACAACAATAGTATTAACAACAATAGTATTAACAATAATAACAATAACAATAACAATAACAATAACAATAAAAACAACAATAAAAATAACAATAACAATAAAAACAACAATAACAATAACAATAATGATGCTCGACTCTGTCCTACTCTGCTTCTGCTGACCCCTGCTTTGCCTGCCAGAAGCTCAAAAGAACAGGGCCTTACTCAACTAACCCTAACTATCAATTTAACCAACCGTACCATCTCATTACACAACCTTGCTGCCTCACAACCACCAAGTATTGTCTCTCCAATCACCTTTGCTTTCTCTCCATACGCCACAACCCCGCCTAACCATCCGACCTCCTTGATACCACCCACCCACCACCAAAAACCCACTCCGACCCCCACAATACCACCCCAACGTCCACTTGAACCCCACCTAACCATGGTAAACCACCCCACCACAGAAATCCACCACAAAGACAACTTGAACTTTTTAAAACCATACCACTTATCACTTATCTTAAAACAAACCTAATCATTAAGAAAGTTACATAAAAACTGAATTAAAAAAGACAGATAATGGAGGAGAGAATGAGTGAAAAGGGGCACCAACAAGAAGAGAGCGAAAGAGAGGGGAGAAGTAGAGCGGAGGTGGCGGCGACATGAGGAGGGGCAGTGGCAGCGGGAACAGCAACAACATGGGGGAAGGTTAGGGATGTTGATGGTGCTGATCATAGAGTGAAGCGAAGGGGAACAAAGTGGTGGGAGTTACATGGGTTTCCCTTTCTTTTTTATGTAAACCAAACAACATAAGATGATATAGGGATTTGTTCTCTATTCCATTCTCTATGTCATTCTCTTTTCCCTTTGTGAATCAAATGCCCCCTTTGTAATTTGACTTGATAGTTGAGAGATGACTCCATTGTAGATTAACATGGAGGATAATGATATGAGCCAAGATTTTCTCAAATAAATGTCGGACATTGAAACTACTTATTTTTAGAACGTAAGGGTATTCCCAGTATTTTAAGGGGATGCTACCTTTTAAATAACCAAGGTTCTTGAATCTCTTTATTTTCTAGCCAAGTATAAAATCTGTATACCTAAGTTTGTGCGTCCAATCAATATTTAGTTATATAAAACCAAATTTATATTTTTTAGTAAAATAGCATCATTAAGTTTTTTGGTTTCTGCATACTCTCGGTCTCAATTAGGTTATCCCATTGAGGGGCCTTTTCAGGATCTGTTTTGTTAACTAGTTTGTAGTACTTGGAGGACTGCTGGTCCTCTATTATTTTATCTCTTCTCTTTCCATTTTTTAGGAGAAATTGAGAAACAAGAACCAGTCATGCTCCTTTTTACGAAGTATTTTTCGTAGTAAATTTTCACTAAAAAGGTGGAAAGCCTAAAGAAATAATTTGTACTACCTCTATTTTAGAAAGATCACTTACTGTTTTCACACAACCTAGGATTATAGGAGAGAGAGTGAGATGTGGTGAGTAGTTGTAAGAAACTGTTGGGCATAATATATTAAGATTGACTTTCAAGAAATTTGATTTAATCACATAAGTGATTCTAATCAAGTTTTGTATTCTTGTAGGAGGCAGCATGGATGCTCTCTAATATTGCTGCAGGTTCCATTGAACACAAAAAATTAGTTTATAACAGTGAGGCAGTACCATTGCTATTGCGTCTTCTTTCAACTGAACCATTTGATGTAAGGAAAGAGGTAGCTTATGTCCTTGGTAATACATGTGTGGCCCCAACAGAAGGTTCTGGTAAACCGAGTCTGATTGTGGAGCACTTGGTTTCATTAGTTAGCAGAGGATGTCTTCCTGGTTTCATTGAGCTTGTCCGATCTGCCGATGTAGAGGCTGCGAAATTGGGTCTGCAATTTATAGAGCTGGTGAGCTCATCTAATTTGGTTATTGTCGGATTTATGTGACATGTGTTGCTGATTTTTACTTTCGTTTACATTTCATTTTATCACTAATTTATTATGTATTGCAGAGTAATTAGTGGCATCAAGAAACAACTTAATTTTTTTTGGATGCCTCGCATTCTATATTGTCAACTATGTGAATTCCAGCAATTCCTAGATAATTTTATGAGTTCCAGTCATTACAAAGACGGCCTGAAATGGTTAAAGTATTAGTTTCCTTGTGCATGACAAGCATTTTGAAACTGCTTGACCTGATTCCAAGCCCTGGATTCAGAGCCCTGGTGTATTTATTTCCAATGTCTGAATGTTTGAATTTCTGTTTTATAGGTTTTGAGAGGAATGCCCAATGGCCAGGGTCCGAAGCTTGTAGAAAGTGAGGATGGCATTGAAGCCATGGAACGATTCCAGTTTCATGAAAATGAAGACCTCAGAAATATGGCAAATGGATTAGTTGACACATATTTTGGTGAGGATTACGGGCTTGATGACACTTAAGGACAAGAGCAAGGGTAGGTATTAGCTGCTACTTTGTGCTGACTAGTTTTAAGGTTTTTAAAAAAAAAAAAAAATCTTGCTACTCAGGGGAGTTTAAGAAATATGGAAAAGGAAAAAAATGAAATAATATAGGTGAACGAGATTATGCAGGTATTGTATGATAGAACGTTTTAAAATAGAATGTAAGTTATGGTGATACTTAATTTTGTCTTGGATCGTCGAATTGTTGTAAGAGTCAACAATAGTGTTTGTGCCTTGTTAGCTTGCTACATGCTTAGAAATCGGAAGATGGATCTAATGTTAAGACGAGGACTGATACATCTATCTCAAAGGTAACAAAATATGCCTATTTCCCTTCATTTATGCACTAAATTGCTAACACTAAGAAAGAATGATTTAAAATGGACCGTAGCACTATTATTCAAACAATTGGAGCTTAGAACAAATATCCAAAAGAACAGGACATGTTTGGGGGGGGGGGGGGGGTGTTTATTATTATTATTTACTTATTATTTTTTTAACCGTTATATGATCAAAGGGTGAAAGAAGGTGGTTTATTTCGTGTTCCGCATTAAGCACTTTAAGATATAACTTAGGTAGTGTTTGGTGAAAAGCTTAAAGACGAATTTGATCGCGTTATCTGATTTTTACAAATTGGTTGTATTAAATTAAATAAAAGTGGTTGGTTAAATAGTTAATTTCTTACATCAATTTGAGTATACAACACAATAGACAAGACATTGACATATTTTAATTGTGGTACGGTTTTGGGTTACATGAGGGCATATTCACCTTAAACTACTTGAATAAGCTAATGATAAAGCTCCTTCAAACAGCTTATTGAAAATGAGCTTATTTGGTGGCATAAGCATTAAATAAGCCTTTTGAATCAGTTCATCACCAAACTCCCCACTTAACTTATCATAGTGTTCAATTAGCTAATATTGATTAAATAATCTAATAATCTCCCAATAAACTCTACCAAATATGCCCTTGAGCTTTTCTTTAAGGGATGAAATGGGTTATAACAATGAGTTTGAATGTCTTTAGCTTTGGGTTTGATAGGAATTGTTTATTGTTACTAGCTCCTATTGGTTATACTACCTCCGTTTTTTTAGTTGACACCTTTTTATTATCACACTTATCAACGCATGTTTTTAACGCTTAATAACTTCAACTATCAACATTGTAAAATTATAAAAAGTAGATATTAATATAATATGCATCAGGAAGATTCAAATAAGATCCCACATGACTATATTTTGTCGTATTCATAAGTCACAAAAGAGAGTCAAAATGTAGTGTGAAAATGGTGTAAAAACGGAGGTAGTACTCAATAGCACAATTTTATTAGGTGTTGATTGAATGTTTTAATTTTTGCACAATACTAGGCAATTTTACAAAGCCTTGTTTGGCAGTAGCGTCTGGGTAATGATAACTGTTTGGACCTAGCCAAAACAATAATTGGAAAAATAAAAGTGTTTGTTAAATTAGTGATTTTGGCAGCAGTTAGGTAAAAGGTAGTGTTTTTGCAGTTTGTATATCGCATATTTGGCACACTAGAAATATTGCTATTTTTGAGCAAAAAATGAATTTTGTCCAATCTACTTTTAATAAGTTCATTGTTGATTATTATCTATGCTTGAAATTAAATCAGGCAACTTTGGATCGACCTTGCTCTTCTAGCAATCAAGTTCTAGGATGTGGGCTTGATATGTTCATTTTATATAGTATTTTACCCTCGTTCCTTGGTCATAATTAGTAGTGTTTTTGGCTCTTTAGATCCACTTTTATTACTAATTGGTGTTTTCTAGTGTTTTCATAGATTTGGTTGACTTTTGTAGGGATTTGCACTTTTGGAGCATTTTCCCGGGATTTTTTGGAGCATTAGAGATGCACGACCATCCTTCATAGCCCAGGGCCGGCTAGAGCCATCGAACCGGTGATTAAGGGCTCGATATATGTGATACCGGGGCATTTGGACCGAGTATTCAAGACTCGAAGAGGAAATTCGGATTGGCCCTAAGAATTGGAGCCCAATCGAAGTCTAAAGAGTGGCCCAAGAGTGCCGCCCAGCCAAAGGAGCTCCCGCCCGAAGGCGCGCCCGGCCGGGCGGGGGAAGCAAAGCCAGTGCCCGAACTCGCGCCCGAAAGACATACCTTAGAGTAAAAAAGGCGGGGCCCGATCGGGCGGTGCCTCGCTCGATCGGGCGTGTGTCAGCTTTAGGAGACGATTAGCGTCGTTTAAGTTTGTTTTAGTTTAGGATTCTTACTTAATATAAATAATTATCCGTTAAGCGAGTTTAGTATCTTCTTTTACTCTTTCTTAATTCTTCTCTTAGACTTTCTCTCTCTACTTAGAATATTTTCTCTCTAAAAAATTCTCTCAACTTTGTTCTTAATTCAACTCCTTAATTCAGATTACTTTTGGTAACAATTTTCTTCTCTATTAATTTCAGTTATTTTCTTTAATTCTTTCATCATGTCTTATTTTATTGCTTTGATTAGTTTAGATTTAATTATGTGTGAGTAGTTTTATTTCTAGGGTTTATGGGGATCCAATAAATAATATGAAGGGGTAATTTGTGATTGTTGATTGTCAATGCTTAATTATTTTCCTATTGATTGATTTAATGCTTTGCAATTAGGTTTGTCCAGATTTAATGGTATGAGTTTAGCAATATTGATTCGAGATTCGAGAGACGAGAATTGACTTATAGGCTTAGTTTCAATAGGCGGACTAATTTATAAATGGTTAAGTCGAGATTCGAGACATGAGATTTAATACCGGTAAATTAACTCTGTGATTGTAATACATAGCGAAAGCCCTTTATGATCTGATTAATTGATGCATTGATGATTGTTTGTTATGTTTTACCCTGGAATATTGTTTATTGGTGAACCTATGCCCTAAGCTTTTCTTTCATTGATTTACCTCTTACTTTTAGTAGTTTAATTACCCTTTTTATAATAATTTGGTTACTTGATAATTTAGATTGCTTTTAATTAATTAGGAATAAATTGACTTGTTTCCCTATGGTTCGACCCTTCTTCCCTATCTACATAGTTAGTAGATTTATGTTTTATTTTTGATTGGGTGAATACGACTTGAGCCTGCCAAATTTTGGCGCCGTTGCCGGGGAAACGGTTTTATTTTTATTTCTGATTTTTTTTTGTCTAGGTTATTTCTTTTTGTCTCAGAGAACGTTAGTTTTGAGGCAAGTCTCATATTTTCTTTTAGTTCTTTGTTTATGCCCAGGTGTTCCAGATCAGGTTACATCTCATTCGACCGGAGATCGAACTATCCTTCCATAGACAAAAGAATTTCTACAAGAAAATCCTGGCGGGTTCTGGTGATAATAATAATCACTGAGACCCTCCAACTGATTCTAGCGATTCAGAGGTATCTTCAGATCCAGAATCAGAGATGGCGGTACCTAAGAAGCTTAGTGATTATTCACAACCAAAGCTTACAGATTTTCCACACCTTACTCCCACTCCATCTCTTGATGGAGTACAGTTTGAGATTAAACCCCAATTTATAACGATGATAGAAAGGAAGCAATTTTGTGGAGCTAAGGGTGAGGACCCAAATCTTCATATTGCAGACTACTGTCAATACTGTAATACCATCAGGCAAGCTGGGGTCACACAAGACCAAATCAGGGAGATTCTGTTTCCTTTTTCTTTAAGTGGAAAAGCCAAATTATGGCTTAATGGATTAAATAGAACTGCACTTCGTATAACTGACTGGGAAACTTTTGTTTTGAATTTTTATAACAAATATTATCATGTAGAGAGAACAGTTGTACTACGGAGTGCTATTCAAAACTTTTCCCAAGAGGCCGATGAAACTTTATATGAGGCTTGGGAGAGGTTCAAGGATCTACAAAGAGAATGCCCCCACCATAATTTGGCACAATGGCAGTTGATTCAAGCCTTTATTTTATAATGGGATTGGAAATTCATCTAGAATAATATTGGATTCTGCAGCTAGTGGGAGGTTTATGAACCTTAATGTTGATGATACAGGTCAAGTTATTGAAGATATGACAATACATAATTCCCAATATGGGAATCCTATAGGCTTTGCTAATAAAGGGAAACATAGTGTCGACTCTGTATCCTTTTTACAAGCTCAATTAACCTCTATCTGCCAGAAATTAGATAATCTTAGTACTGCAAATGTAACTAATGTTTATGCAATTAATAATAATGCTAATGAGGCTTTATGTGAAAATTGTGGAATTATAGGTCATTGGGAGCAAGATTGCAGGAGTTCCGTGGAGCAAGTCAATGCCTTTCAAGCTTATAGGTAGAATAACCCATACTCCAACACCTACAATCCTGGGTACCGGAATCGTCCGTACCTTTCCTACCGGAGCACCAATGTTCAAAATCCACCACCACCACAAGAATCACAGGCGCCATAACAAACTCAGTAGAAATATTACCACCCCAATGCTAGCCAGAAGAACCAACCACAACAACCCTCCTCATCTTCCGACCCTGCTCTGGTAGAAATTAGAGCGATGCTGGCTAATATGCAGAAGCACATGGAGAGTAGAGATGCCCAAATTGGTTCGATCCTAGCACATAATAAAATCGTAGATAATCAAATTGCGCAAAATTCTGCTACTCTGCAAGCCCGTCAACAGGGAGCCCTGCCAGCACAACCGACCAGGCCTACGGATCAAGCCTATGCAATTACTCTAAGGAGTGGTTCAAACTATGAAGGGCCCCCTATGCCCAGAGATGATGAACCTGTTTTAATAAATAATGCTTATCTTGATTCCATTAAACCTGACAATGTAGCTAATAGCCCTGCAGGGCTAAATAATAGTACTAATATATCTGATTTTACATTGCAGGGTACGACTCCAGGGAAAGTGGAAGCTCCAGATAAGAGCAGTAATATTCCAAAGCTAGTTATCAAACTTCCATTCCCAAATCGTCACTTGAAAACAAATTTGGATAAGCAGTTTGGTAAGTTTCTGGAGATGGTTAAAGATTTGCAGGTAACATTTCCCTTCACTGAATTAATTACACAAATTCCTGCATATGCAAAATTTATGAAGGAAATATTGACAAGAAAAAGGTCTATTAGTGAGGTAGAGACAGTAGCTTTCACTGCAGAATGTAGTGCCGTACTTCAAAATAAATCTCCACCTAAAATGAAAGATCCGGGTAGTTTTTCTATCCCTTGTCATATTGGCAATCTGATGATTGATAATGCATTATGTGATTTGGGCGCTAGCGTTAGTGTCATGCCATTATCTGTGTGTTCCAAGCTAAATATGGGTAAATTAAAAGCTACTAACATTACTCTACAAATGGCCGACCGTTCTTCTAAATACCCC